TCATCATTCAATTGAAGTGAAATATGCAGAAATATGGTAGTATCTACAAGTCGAAACATGGAGATTCTTTGTCTTCTGAGAAAAAGACTTTTAGTCAGAAAAGTCCTCACTATCATCGTCATCATCCTCCCATCCACTGTCATGTGCTTCACTGTCGTCCGATTCGCCATGCTCTTCATCTAGGCAGAAGACTTTTGCTACCACTTCTTCTTGTTCTTTCTCCTCAATCTGAACTATTTCCTCTTCCGTTTGCGTACCAGCATCTGCTTGGGTAATCTTCGGGAAAACATTACATTATTACCTGCAGCATCCTTTTTTTTTCTTGTTTGTCACTGTCAGCGACCACATCTCCCGTAAACCACGCTGTCGCTTTTCTGCCATTTTACCGTGTTCTTGGAGACGAAATGTGGCGTTTTATATAGAGTGGCTTCAGAAACCACCAACTACAATGCTCCCTGTAACTGAGACCCAGTCTTCGACTCGTCCTCAACGTTTACTCAACGTATAATGCAGAGAACGTATTTTAAACGCAGACTCAAGCGATGTTTTGGCGAAATTCTCCAGAAAAATTTCAAGTTTGCTTGCTCGCAACAACTTTGTGAACACTTACCACTTTTTATCAAAAGTTTTATTTATCATATAATTTACCTAAGGGAAAGTAGGCGTCGCAAATAAAAAAGTTGCCGTCGGATGCGACGGCCGACGGCTGATTTTGAAAACACTGACTATTCAAACGTTGGATAGTGCTATCTAGGGGATAAAGTGAATTAATATCCAGTGAATAGTTAACAGGGGAACCAATTGCTTTGTCAACTGGATAGAAATTTATCCAGTGGAAAGTGTCATCCATGCTTGAATGACTGAGGCATGGTGAACATCCTTATTGTGAATGGAGGTCTCTCGAACCCCCTCAAAACAAACTCCCTGGAACATTCCTTCTTGTTCTTCACAACAAGCATATTTCCTGGTACTAAAACAACAGTCATGTGGTTATAGCAATTTTCGTATGACCTAGAAAAATGGTTTTGGCAAGTGTTCATTATTTGTTTTATCAGCCAATGGATGAAAATCTCAAAACATGCACTCTTTGTTTTCCCACCAAGGAAAACCCTAATATGGAGAAGGCATTGTTTGATTGGCCAATCGGGTTGCAGCATGACATTAAAGTGAGGTATCGATTGATTTCTAAAAAGTTCTTCAGGCATGACGTTTTTTCAGCCAAGCGTTTGTTTAACCAACCAAAAGCCACACGTTATTTTATCCATTAGACAAGCCAATCAAATTGATCTATTTCTGTTAACTTGTGCGTTTTCATTTCAAGGTCATACAAAAATCACTCTAATAAGTTTGCTTACTGAAATCTCCTGTAAGGAACACTCCATGTGCTCCGGGGGCCCACTCTCTGTACTTCAAACCCTCAGGTGTTCTATTGATTCCAAGTCTCTCGTAGCCTCTTGAAAACTTCTCTAAGCTACCTTCATTGTCCTCAATCTGCTTCTTGAGACCACAAAACACTCTATACCTGTGGCAGAACAACTTAGATAAGAGAGTTTTCAGACAGATGGCTGAATTTGCAGGTTAACATGCATGTGGCAATATTGTTTAGATTTTGCTCCTTTCAAATAAAACAAAAGATAACCTTGAACTGGAAATCGTTTATGAAATGAACAGTCTGTAGCACTTTTATTTAAAACACAAGTGCTGTGGCGATTCACTTGTGATTGGTCCTGAACTGTGGGTGGTACCTTTATGTTGAAAATTCTTATTAATCTGTGGAGGGCAATGAGGAAAAATGGGAGATATGGGTGCATGTAATGGAAATGACACTAATAACAAAAGTTTATAATACCAGTGCATAATATAAAAAATTCAACCGCCTACAGAACTAACAGTATATTTGAAATATCTCTATTCCTCACTCCAGAAACTGTATAAGGGAAATGGGCAGATCAAAGCTTTTGGCCCAACAATTTCTGGGATCATGTGGGTATTCAAGGCCACCATTAACAATCATTTCAGTAATGCTTGTCCACCCACACCATCCCAGAAATCTTTGCACCAAAAGTTTGTACTCATTCCTCTTGTAGTTCCTGGAGTGGGGAATTCAGTGTTATTTTTTCAGCATTGACCTCAAAGTCTACCTTCTTTCGATCTCAGTTTGATATGGTTTAACATACGGGTCATCATGAAGAAATCTAGAAAAATGTGGAACTACTTGGTCATCTACCATCTACAAAAAAAGCCACAGAGATATAGTTACACCTTTGTAGTAAGTACCTCTTTATTTATAATACACACATGCAACTCTCAATATTACAGACACTTTCCACAGTCCTGAAGAAACCAAGGGACATTTCCGCAAATGCAAATGCAAGACCAAATGCATGCAAAGTGAAAATTTTTGTCCACTGCCATGCATGGAATATTGGAAGGTTCAAATATTATGCACACATATATCTAACTATGCTTTCTTTTGCACGTATTGGACATGTGCACCTCTCTTGCATTTTGCATTATTAGTTTTTATCATCATTATTTTGTGCTGCATGTTGTACCAGCCAAAACACAGCACTGTATTATGTGGACACTTGATTCTGATTCTGTGTCCTAGGCTTCTGTTTAATAGGGATTTCAACAGTATCCCTGAAAAATATAGAGAAGTAACTTACATATATGCTTAACTTTTTAAACCAAAGCATAATTTATGGAAAAATATGACAAACGCCCATCGAAATGGCCAAACAATTACAAAATAACGTATCCAACAACAATAAATCAAAAACAGTCCCTTCTCAAGCACTTATTTTTCATCATTTTGCAGAAAACAAATCTCAAACACAAATTGTTATAATTACATGTATGATGCTAAACTGCTGTCACGCCACCTAGAAGAAGCAGGAAAGATATGAACTACCTCCAGCATGACAAGATGGCAAGCCAATCACACTAAAGATTTGCTTCAGTCATGCCTTGTATAGTTTGTACACATGTACATGCACAGGAGATACAGCTTCTAAGCTTTACATGTTAAAACAAAACTAAACAAAATGCATGTGCTTCTGCTTCATATTTCAAAGGTTATCAATACCATTATTTGTTTAAAATGTAGAGAATCTAGAGGACTGAGCAACAACTAACAAGTATATCAAAATAATGCTATTAGAAATTAAACAAAATGTGTTAATGCTTAATAATTAAACTATAAAAGATCACCATAATTTATTAACCACAGACATAAGCCTCCATATGACCATGTGAGTAGTGTTAAATTCCACATTACATTATATAACCAGATCAAAGCAAAAGATTTATAAGAACTACAAAAGAGTGAATGTAGCTTAGGAACCAACTACAAACTCTTTATGAGAATTTTCAGCCAATTTAAAAGGCACAAGCTACAGTTAATATAAATTACTTTATTTAGCCTAAGACTCTGGAAAGTGCAGGTTAAATATAAAGATGATTTATAGAACTCATGTTCTTCACAAGAGTAAAAGCCTTGCAAATTTTAACTACCAACAATACCTCTCTTCTTGATAATATGCTTGTCAAACTATGCTACTGTAACATATGTGTTACGTTTTAATCCCCTGGGAGTCTCAAATAGTTGAACTACAGTGGAAATTCAACTAGACTAATTTATGCATGCAGACACTGCCACATGAACAGTGAATAGCAATGAAACTCGAGTACACAAAAGACTGAAAGCCGGATGAAATTTGCATAAATACAAAAGATATGTAAAATGATCTGACTTTCATGTCACATTACATGTACAGGTCACACAATCATTTTTTTTTTCATCAATTTAGCAGCATTTTTCCATCGGTTTTAACAAGAATTATTCCCTTTTGTTAATGGCTAAAAAAGGAGGTTAACAGTACTGTGGCATTTTTTTCATAAACACAGGGGTATTTTATTAATGAACAAGATTATGATTACAAATATAGACAACATCTGATAATATGTAAAAATCAGGCTTTCAGTAAGTTTTAAATTATTGCAGCAGATAGCAGAATGTTTACTTGGCTGCAAGAAAAAGAACCCATAAATAAGGGAAAGGTATAAAACATTTTGTGGGCTGAGGTCATAGGTAATCAACTGTTATACAAACCCTTGCAATGGACGTGCAGTTTTAAACTAAAATAGTNATTTGCATAAATACAAAAGATATGTAAAATGATCTGACTTTCATGTCACATTACATGTACAGGTCACACAATCAT